GAAATTGTGAAATGCCCCATGTGTATATAAGTTGTGATTTTTGTCACACTAAGTACACTCAAATACAAAATCTACTATAACTCAACTAATACCTAACCAAATTACATGATATAAGTTGTAAAAATTGTAGTTTTGAAGTATCTTTCATATTCCAGAAAAAATAAAGTGAAATTAGCAAAAATTGAGTAAGATACAACACAATATGTGAGTTTTCCCTATATTTCATGTATATCAGTTTTCCTGGCCCTAAAACTGATTGTACAGTACTATAAACTAGTCTAAATGAAGAATATTACTTTTTTGTTAATTTACATATTGAATTCTGGCTAGGATACTGTTAAGATGAGACTATACAAGAGTATGTCTCAGATAATATAAGCTATATTACAAGTGATGACAAGCAATGATAGAATACATTCCATCATACATTCTACATCTGAGACATACCTACATAGTATATATAGACTAACTAATCAACAGACAATGAAGTATAACACCAGAGAGTGAGCTGAGTCCACTATCCCCCCCTCTTTGTGTGATCCCTCTAAGCCTCTCACATAACCTCCTTTCTTAACAGGTTATGAGCCTTGTGCTCCCTGCCTATACTTTATCCCTACTCTACTATGTCTATTGCTCTATACACTACTATGGATCACTAGCATGCATGCAGCACACTATGATGTAGAACTCAACACACCTGTCTAAGTATCCTAAACACAAATCAATATACTACAGACACACAATCTACTGTACCACACACAACCCAGACATTATATGATTATTGTCTTAGTGATTATGATCATTAGCCTAGTAATAATGTAATCTATACAGGCAATGTTGAAACTATAATGAGTATCACTTACTACAACATTTAATCACTAAAGTATTCTATAATATTACAGAGATCATGTTATTATAAATAACTGATCATACTACAGACAAACATTAGAAGGATTGAGAAAGCAAACACTACTCATCTGCTATTAATATTACAATAGTACAAATGATTGACACTGTCAACAAGCACACATATGTTATAGCTTAAATCAAATAATAACATATATAGTAATATCACAGCTAAACAATTAATGCTTAAAACAAGTGCATATATACTAAACAGTATATTAAATCAAATAACTAAAACATCTAACATGTATTATAAACAATAATACAATTGTGGACACTATAACAATGACAATAATAATAATAATAATTTGTGTAATTATTATGAAACATGTTGGATTCAGTGGTTACATGTCAGATATTGCAATTACTTACCAGATATTGAATATAATACACATATCTAAGACATACAGACAAGTACAGATATACACAAGTATAATAAATAATTACAAACCAAAAAAAAGAAAAACAACACTACAGAGTGTATAAACTAACTATACACAAAGGAATAATGTTATAATGTGTAAATACTAACTATAGCACAAGACAAGTTCAAAATTATAATTATTAAACAAATGATACTACTTTACACATTAATACAATTGTGTAAATGTATACTAACAACAAACAAAGGGATTATATCTCTATTATACTTGAAACAATGTAACAATACAACTTAATTACACAGAATGTATTTTCACAGCAGTTGATTATATAATAAATTTCGAAGTTGCAACAGCAACATTAACTACACAGTGTATATACCTTAACAAACAATTATTAAATTTACATTGTGACAATGTAGCTTGTAGGAGTAAAGTATTAAGCTGATAAGACTATTACAACAAATAATACAGATATAACTATAACAGATGCACTTATTGTAATGATTATAAACAAAAACAATCATAATATAATATGATTAAATAAATTAATAAAATGTTTAAGGCATTATCTCAGACAGTATAATATAAAATAGAGAATAACAGATGCAAGTGTACTTAATAGAACTCAGTACATTTATTAAAAGTGTTACATAAATAATAATTACAATGTTATTAAATGAATATTATACAGAAACAAACAAATTACCATATGTTTTCAATGCAAAAACAAAATATTCATTCATAATTACAAACAATAATTAATAAAAGATAACAAGTGCAAACATAACTTGTAACATAATGTGTACCTATCTAACATAACAAACAAACTCATTTACAATTCTAATGCATAACAAAATACACATTATATAAGTTGACAAATGTTAACAGTAATGAAGATATAATAGTAATAACATTTAAATTACTTATTATCAAACATAACAAATGTTACACACTACTTTATAATACTAATAATTAGAAATTGAACCACAAAAGCAATTACAATTATTATATATAAATATTATATTATAACAACAACAGACAAACATATGAAAGAAAGTAGTAAACAATTAAACAAATTAAACAAAATATCCAATTCTTCAAAGAAATACCTTCTTGAATTGAAGGGGAGAAAATGGATAATATGTGCAAACAATTAATAACTAAATATAAAGAACAGAACAGAAAGTATAATGATACAAACACTACAGAAATACAGACACTACAGAAAATAGAATAACAAAATGCACAGACTAAGTAATAGAAGTTATGGACAGACATAATGGATCACAAAGGTAAATCATTCAGTACAAAGCAAAACTACATCAATTAGAACAAATAATGGAAGTCAATACAATGTGCAATTGAACTTCAACATTAAATAAATAATAATTCCACTACAAAATGAATGCTCATACTTGGCAAATAATATTAATATAATAATCTGATTAACTTAACAAAGTTTAATATGGAAATAAATAAAATATAAATGATTATCATGTTATATAATAAAATAATTCATCAATCCAGACTATAGTTCATGGATAAAAGTGATGAATAATAAAAATAATACTTTGGAACATATATAAAACAATAAATAATATATCCATACAATAGTACAAATATAATTGTAATATAATTTGTAACTACAACCAAACAGCATGCTGATAATAACTATATAAACAAGTATGGAGCACATACATATAATTAAATAAAACTATTAAATTGATTCTTGTACAAACAATTACAGCTGTTTTCAAAATACCTGGCACTCACTGATCTTGTGTGTTTTTTTGTCATGTCACAGACAAAATAAGAGAAAAATTGACAAAACCTCCATTTTCTCTGTCAATATTGCTCTATAGTTTCTCTTTAAACAATGTAAATTTTCTTTAAAGTAATCTGTATATGAATTTGCAAAAAAAATTTGAAAAAATGTACTGTGTATTTGTTTAGAAAAAAAAGAACCATACTCAGACAAAATCTTCATATTTTACTAAAATTCTAGCACTCCAAGAAATGCACCAAAAAATCTGTTTTAAAATTCTAAATAAAGGTCTAATACTATAGTACTTATGTGCTGAGTTTCATAATAGCTAGAGTCTTATAAAATACAGTAATTAAAGTTATATATGTTTGATTAATACTCAAAACTATCAAATCTGTCACTGTATTCATAGAAAATTCCTACTACAACTTGTTTTGCTCAAAACACAGGTAGGACTCACTAATTCAGTCTAAGTCTACTATACAAAGTTTGTACAAGTTGTGTTTACAAAGAAAGAGTTTATAGTTGTATAGGAAATACTATTGATTACTTATATTAGCTAGTACTATTGATTTGCACATGTGAAAATATGGATTCTGACGTAGCACTTTTTCCTTCCTACCTATTACTCCATGCCTAGTGGTATTCGCCTTTCTGAAGACCTTCGCAATGTTATTGTCTATATGTATAATCATCACAAACTCAATGTGACTCAAATTTCACATTTAACTAATGTTCCTCAATGCACAATTTTTTGTATTCTATCTGTGTGGAGACAGACTGGTGAAGTTAATCCAACACGTACAATAAAAGCTGGACGTCAAAGAGTTCTTGATTTTGCTGATACTCAGGTAAGTTGACCTAGTACATTGAATCATATTTACTGCTGTTTTCAAAATACCTGGTACTGACACGTTTTGTGACGTTTTGTCACACTAAACATGTCAGAATACAAAATTTACTGTAACTCAATCAATACACAACCATTCTGTGTGATTTAAGTTGCTAAATTCATTAATCTTAAATATCTTTCATATTCCAACAAAAATAAAGAAAATTGAGCAAAAATTGACTGAGATACAGTACAAAATGATGATTTTCTATATAACATTCATTTTTATTTTTTCTCTAGACCAAAACTAGACATATAAGCTTGGAAAACTGTCTATTCTAGTTGTATACATTAATAATTAATTTACATACTTAATTTTCCATGAATAGATTGCTTATTCTACTTTACTAAGAGGAGGTTAAAATGTGTAAAACTGACTATTTTACTCTATCCTCCCCCACACTCACTAACATTTTTTCAACCTCAAATTGTATTCCTAAATTAAATATAAATGTATTAGAGTAGTTTGTAACAAGTTTCATGTCAATATGTTGAGAATTGATCTCAGAACAAATAAAACAAGTGGAGT